TGGTTCAGGGAAATGGGACTGGAAATAGAGACTTTGCTTCACAGGCAGGGTATTTGGGTTAAGAATCCGACATATTGGGGATGATGGTGATGCAATCCAGAAGGCAAAATTTTAACTCATTGTCATGATGGCTCCCGGGCTAGGAGACAGAGAAACATTTCAACTTAATGGATAAAATCATGTATAAAATGTATTTGCTTATTAATTCACATACAATTTTCCATATAGAGATTATATTTTCAGTGACATCTATAAAAATATTTGTGGTTGAAATGTGTTCATGAAGCCTTGAAAGAGATTGATGTTTATTATTTGTTTACTTTAAGAAGCATGAGAAAAAATGATTGATATGGTTTTCTACTCTACTCCTGTATATCGGGCTTCCCTATTAGCCACAGGTCTGATTCCGGCTGTTTCCATTCTTTTCCAAACAGTGTGTTAAAGTTGAAAGGCTTGAAGTATTCCAGACGATGGCTAAAAGCAAAGGAAAAGAAAGTGGGAATTGAAATGAATTATGCATTTGTGAAGCCGCTGTCCTGAAGGGCTATTTATTTTGTCACATCTGTGATAGGACAACATTCTATTTTAAGAAATACCAAAGGTACAATGCATTTTATATGTACAATTTTCTCACCCCAGCTATCAAACATTCCGCTCTGGAAACATTCACCCGCAACTCAAAGCACTCTCTTTTCAATTCTGTGACAAACTCCCTCACAGGCAATAGGAGAAATAAAAATCTGCCTTCAGAATCTGTCATATTCCATCTAACTATAAAAAAATCATATATGCCCTTGCAAAGTTTTTTATAATTTAACTTTGATATCATTTGTATTTGCCCCATAGACAATTGTTTTAGAGTTTCCTAGGCCATTCTTCTGAGGCATCGCTGGTAAACTTGAACCTCTGGTTTAACCGTTACCACCCAGAAACCCCATGACTCTGTTAGGGTCTTCTAAACCTTTACACTGTGGTGGGCCACACTGAACCCTGAGAGAGATACAGGCTAGAGATCACAACTTTTCACGGGCAGCATCTGGGTTTCCTCGCTGTGGAAGTAATCCTTACGGCAGTCCATGGAGCATTCGTAAGGCTGTCTAGAAGGTACATTCTCCACGTGACAGCTCCGGGGGCAAAGGACAAGACTCGAATTGGGAAGGTACAAAAGGCACCTCGGATCAGACACCTGATATTCCACAGGGACATTGCACAAAAACTTTATAGACAGTGTTTTAGTGTCATCCCTTCTGTCAGTGTCACGTCATGAGTCGCTGCTTTGAACGTCCTCACCTGGGACATGTCAATTAATGGGGAGCCAGCCTATGTTGCCCCTATGAGGTATTCATAGTTCATTTGCAATTCCTCTTGCCTTGGATGTAATTTATCAATAGGAGTCTATATTTTTAACTTTCACAATATAATTTATTTTTTATTTTATTTTAAAATTTTACTGTATTTTTTACCTTGAAAGTTTTTAAATTGTGATTTGATTGAAGGCATATAGAGCAGATGATTTATTTTGTATTCAACAATTCATACAAATTCTATTTCATCTCATTCATTGCAAGTCCCTCAACCAAATTTCAACACAATTTAATTGGATTCTATTCTATTCAACCTAATTTAATTGAATTTAATGGAACTTACTTAATTTAATTCAGGTCAGTTTAATTCAATAAATATTGACCCGGCTCCTACTATGTGCAAGGCCATAGGTGCTACACAAATGACCAGGAAAAGAGCTTTTAAGATTCATTGAGGCTGAGGCAATAAAGCTCAAAAATACCTCCAAGGTTGTGGGTTCTCCCTCCAGAAGATACCCAGAATCCACCTGTTTCTCTCCATTTCATAGCCACCGTCGTCCCAGTCAACATTTTCTAGCAGTCGGACTTCCAGGGCAACCCCTGCTCTCTCTACACTGCTACAGTCCATCATGTGCCCACCAACCAGAACGATCTTTCAAAATGTCAGTCCTATAAGCCCTTCCTCCACTGACAGGTCATCAGGGGCTTCTTATCACACGTCAAGTTTCTTAAATGTAGGGCGTTTTCTTGAAATTGAAAGCCCTGGAATAAGATCTATTAGGTCTGGCTTGATCTGGTCCGTGGTAGACCCCTCTGACTTCATTGCATCTTATACTAACCCTTGTTATATTGTGTCTTGTTACATTGCATCTTATACTAACCCCTCTGACTTCATTGCATCTTACACTGACTCTAGTCCAGCGAAGCTACTCTTCTGTCTATTGCTGGAACCACGCTAAACTCATGCACGCCTCAGGATCTCTGCACTTGTTATGGCCTCTGCCTGCGTTTCTCACAGTGGCTTTGTCTTGATGTTAGGTCTCCTCTCTAAAGTCACTGACTCCAAGAGATTTTTTTTGGCCACAGTCCTAAGCAGGTCCACACGCGGGAGTCATTTTTACCAGAATTCATGTTCTCTAAAAACATTCTCACCCTTATGAAGTTAGCAGAAGCTATGGAGTTAACTGAAATTTAGATTTTCATGCAGGAAGGAAAATGATTTACAAATCCTTGGCTCATACCAAGAAGGAGTGATGAGTCTGGCCAGTTAGCTCTGAAAGAAATGATAAATGAATCTGTGACCAGACTTCGATGTCAGCTATTATAACACTTACTAAGCAAGACCTCTCTAATATGGCCATGGAAATATAAAAACACGACTGACAGTAGAGACTGAGACTATGTCAGTCCAAAAGCAATCCATCAACGTTCACCGAAGGCCCTCAGAGAGCACAGGACCCTAGGAGGTGACATCTGCTTCTTTGTCAGAAAAATGTTACCATAGTTCTCCTGGGAACTGATTTCCAAAACAAACGTTTAGGGTCGAATCAAACCTTTATTTGTTTTCTACTTACAAATCAGGTTTTTGTCCTCGTTGCAGGTCTTGCTGTGGTACAGGGTAAAGTGCTTCATAACTTCTTCTATCTTCTGTTCCATGAATTGCAAATGAATTGAATTTTGTGACATTTGGTGGAAAATAACACCAAGGAAGACATACTTTTCCTTCCCATTTTGTCTCTCCTCTGGATACTTTGAATGATAAAGCAAGTCCTTGCTAAAAAATCAGTATATAAAACATATTAGGTAAACTCAGACTTAGTCTTTAAATACATATAAATATGTTTATATAAGGTATACTTTGGCACTTAAAGAATTTTGTTCACATTTTCATTTACTTACTTTCCAAACATTCCTTCTTCCAGAGAGTAAAAGCACCAAATGCTGCCCATGGCTGTCAAAATTAAAATTCTTCATGAGTGTTGGAAAGGTAGAGCTATTTTCTTCACCATCCTTCATATCTAGAATGTCTATGCTTGTAGCGACATTTACAAACAATTAAGGCTGCAATGTGGACATTAGCTATTCAAAGAGAGAGCTAGTGTTCAATTACACAAGTCACATCTTTGGATTCACTCTTTTCCGAATAAAGGGGTCTATTTGTGAAAACTATGAACAAATGCATAGGACACATGCTTAAACTGCTCTTCTAGTCTTTAAGCAATAAAAACTATACAGAATACTTAATTTAGCTAGATGACACAAAGTATAATAATGACCCAAAGTTTAAAAATGTCATGTTATTGAAGTTGACAATAAGATTTGTTTCAGTAACTAAAGTAACCTAAGAGATGCAGGCACAGATTTCTATGGCTAAATTCCACCGCTTGACTAAAGGTTATTTGTGCATGAAGGCAATCTTCCAGCTCATTAGAAAGTTAATAAACATCACAACTAGTCAACAGGTAACTATTGTAATTTGTCTCTATTCGCTCATGTAGTATTTCTCAACCTGCCTGCCCTTTGTGCTATCCTCCAGCTGTCTGCCATTGGTTAAGCTCTCTGATGTCACAATTACCAAGTGATAGACAACAGATCCTGCAAACAAAACAAAACGGAAAGAAAACAACAACCTCTAGGAAGAGCACCTCATTGGGATTAACTACCTCAGTAAGCACCGCCAGAGTGCTCCTTAGCAGCAAGGCTGGCGAGACTTCTCTTACATACTATGATTGTCAGGGGAAGGCCCTCCATGAGACGGGTTGACCCAATGGTGCAACAATGGGCTCACACTTAGGAACCATTGTGAAGCTGGTGCAGGACTGCACAGTGTGACAGTGTTTCCTTCTGTCGTGTATAGAGTTGCTATGGGTCAGAACCAACCTGATGACACCTAACAACACGTGAGTAAGAATCACTGGTTGAAAAGTATTTTCCCAAAACACCTCCCTGCCATTGAATCTACTCCGATTCATAGCAGCTCTATCAGAGAGGGGGGATGAAGTATGCCCCTGTGGTTTTCCTAGACTGTAGCTGTTTGAGGAGTAGAACGCTCCTCTTTCTCCAATGGAGAAGCTAGTGGTTTCAAACTGCTGGCCTCGCAGTTAGCAATCCAATTGACAACCCACTAAATCACCAGAGCTCCTTATGTAAAAAATGTACTCTCTCCAGAAAAGACACTATCTAAACATTGCCTCATAGATGGCCTTCTGTGTTTCTCAGTGATTTCTTTCAGGAAACTCTCCAACCCTCTGAACCAATGTCAACGTCCCTATTTTATAGCAAGAGCAAAAGCCCTCTGAGTCTTTTTACTGCTATTGTGCAGCCTCAAAAAATGTCTTGGGAGAAGAAACTCTTGCAATTAAAATAACCATCTTCAGCATTAAATATTTTTTTTTATTATTGACTGTCCTAATGTAAATTAAATCAAACTACACTATAGATTTTTAAAATTTGCCTTTTAAATGTTATTATTTGTATACACAGGGGTTACTGTGTAATTTATGAACAAATAAAAACCTAATTATGATGCTACTTATCTGATGTTTCGTCATTACTTTAGGGGTGGGAGGGAGACTGACATTATTTCATTAAGTTAAAAGTAAAAATCAAACTTTAACATTCTCAAAGATCCAAATCCTTTACTGACTTTGCAAAGTCCAAAACCAAACTCACTGCCATCCTTATGTTTGCCATATGTACGTGAAAATAAATAGTAACGTGAATGCATTAATTGTACACGATGTTTTATGAGAATTGGCCATATTTTTCTGCAAGATATTCAGGCATGCTAGTTGAAAGGAGACACACAAGGACTCACAAACATGCTTCTTAACCAGTGCTTCCAACCAGTTCATCTAAGTTCAGTCATGGCTGACAAAAAAAAATTAAAATGGACCCAAATTGGCAGAATGTAGGCATATGAGTGTGATGAGAAGACGGAAAATGGACAGTGCAAGCCCCTTTAGAAACTGTGCCAGCTACTTAGGAAATAAAGTCATTTTGTGAGGGTTGCATAGCCACCACATATTGGACTGGCAGGGTCCAAACAAATTGTGTCCCCTGGCTCAACAGTGGCAGCCGACCACGTCTCTTTGAACATGTCCACTCTTCACAGTCCTGGAATAATCCAGCGTCACTTCCTGAAAGGGCTCACACTTTTTCCAAGTCATCTGTTCCAGAATTTGTTGTTCAAGGAAATCTAGTGCAGTAGCAGACGACACAGTGAGTTGCCAACCAGAAGGTTTGAACTCACCAAG